CCTATGGCTTCTTTTTAAAGTTGATTTACCAAATTTGTCTTTCACTTTTCCTTCCTCCGTCACAAAGTGTGTCCTGACAAGAAGAGAAACAACCATTTTCAAGGCTGTTAAAAAACACCTCATTTAGCCCAGAGTTGGTGGCACATGAGGCCAGCCTGGTCTACAGAGTGAGTTCCAGGACAGCCAGGACTGTTATACAGAGAAGCCCTGTCTCGAAAAACAAAAACAAAAACAAAACAAAACAAAAAACAACAACAAAAAACCTCTTAGGGTGAATCACAGAACTAGTTTCAATGTCTATATTAATTATGCTTCTAGCTATATTTTATTGTGATAGAAAATCCTTTTAGGTACTACAATAATTCCATGGGCACTATATTTTAGAATATATTAGTTCTTATTATGTGTAGCTACAATTATACAATATGACTTATAATGTATAACATTGCAGTGAATCAAATTTCTCTACTTTTCAGTATAAACCCAACTAGATGAAGTACTTTTATAAGTACTTTATTCTCCTTTTACTTATATGACCTTTTATTGTTATTATTCTTATTGTTTTGCTTGTTAACATTTTGAAAAAGGATCATATATAGCCCAGGCTGACCTCTGAACTTATAAGCATCTGAACTTGTTGGAATCTGAACTCGGATTCTCCTGCTCCTAATGACTTTACACTAGAATTGCAGTCATGTGCCATCACACCATAATCCTTTGTTGTTGTTGTTGTTGTTGTTGTTGTTGTTATATTTGAAGCAAGGTCTCACTTTGTAGATCAGGCTGACCTTGAACTCACAAAGATCTTCCTGTCTCTGCCTCCCAAATGCTTTATATGACTTTTTTTTTAAGACTCATTTATTTATCATGTATACAGCATTCTGCCTGCATGTATGCCTGCACTCCAGAAGAGGGCACCAGATCTCACTATAGATGGCTGTGGTCCACCATATGGTTGCTGGGAATTGAACTCAAGACCTCCGGAAAAGCACCCAGTGCTCTCAACCTCTGAGTCATCTCTCCAGCCCCCAGTGACTTCTTAATCAAAGGGAAAATGTTATTTTGTACCTTCAAGTTCAAGACAGTACATTATCCAATAGAATTTTCATACACATTATTCTTTATAACATGAAAAATAATTTTGATGAGAATATTTTTAATATCACCTTAAGTTCAGTAAGTATCCTAGTATATTATCACCCAAAGATAGTGGATGAAATATTTACAATTTGAAATTTCAAAATAATACTGAAGTTTACTAACACATTCATTTTCTCACTTGTTTACTCACTCAACAAACATTAATAGAACATTAGCAGTTTTCTACAGAGGACACTGCTTTAGGCTATGAGAAATCAGTTCTAGAACTGATTGTAACAGTTTTAACAGTTCTAAGTAGAAAATAATGGGTAAGATAGGAGCACAGATCACCAATACCCCCATGGAACTTTCTTCAATAACAATCTTTGTTGTCCAACATGGTTACTATAATCCTTGTGTAGTTATGGGGCTCCAGATATGTAGCTCGTTTGAACAATGTATTGAGTTTATTTTGTGAATTAAATTAATTTTAGTGGTTGCACATAGCTAGTAGCTACAGTTTTAGACCATACTAGGACAAAGAAAAACACAGGTGTGACAGAGGGAAACTTGTTTAGAGATTAGTCAAAATAGAGAAGGAATAAAGCAAAGAAGTGAACTGGAACTAGCCCTCCCCAGAGGAAAAAGCCTAAATTTAAGTCCAAACAAGGATGTCAACAGTGATATGTCACTAAGGTCACCAATGGCTGTTCTTTAAGGCCTCTCCATCAGTACTTTTATATCTGAGTGTTCTATCAAGTGTATAGACAGGAGTCAAGCTGTGGGACAGAAAGGCTGGCAAGCAGCCCTGTCCCTGAAGCCCATCCTCCCCAGTGAGCTGGATTACCTTCTTTGAACACAAAAAGAAAATTCTTTTACCAGTTATATTTCTGTTGCCT